GGTAAAAGCAAGTGAAAAAGAACTACAAGACTGAGATAAAAGTTAAAATCAAAGCTGGCTTAGAACTGACCAGTAAAAAGGATGCAGCTGCCCAGTCAAGAGGTCTTCACTGGGACTAGCTTGTATAAGGACACGGGTAGGCCATTCCACAGACGAACACTTCTGAGGAAAAATGAATAGGAGTGATATTGTGTCCTTGAATATGGTATTAGGTAGTTCAGGTTTCTAGTGGGTGTCAGGTGGTGATGGTCGACCCTCACAAGATTGTGTTGGATTTTGTAGAGAAGGGTAACAGAGCTGATGTTGCGCCTCTGTTCTAGGGTTTGCCAATTAAGTTCACTTATCATTTTAGATACACTACTGGTGTAATTGTAGTCATTGTATACATATCTGGCAGCTGACCTTTGAACTTGTTCTATTTTGTAAACCAGATATTTTTGCCAAGGATGCCAAACCGTGGAACAGTATTCTAACTGGGGCCTTACATAAGTTTTGTAGGCAGTTTCTTTGACCTTTTTATTTGAAGTTTTGACATTTCTTTTTATAAATCTGAGTGAATTATTTGCTTTTGCTGTTATGTTATTTATGTGATTGGTCCAGGATAGATCTTTACTAATTGTTACGCCTAAATATTTTGCAGCCTCAGTGGATTTTAGTTGTTGACCATGTAAATTATAGGGGAATGTTACTGGATGTTTCTTGCGGCTGATACTAAGGACTTCACATTTATCTGGGTTAAATTCCATGGACCAATCAGATTCCCATTTTCAAGACTGTTGAGGTCTTTTTGGAGGGTTTGGGCATCTTGGGTTGATTTGATTGTTAAATATACTATTGTATCGTCTGCCAATAGCCTGACCTTGCTCTTAACACTATCAGGAAGGAAGGTCGTTTATGTAGGATAAAAAGAGGCATGGTCCCAGGACCGAGCCTTGGGGGACACCAGAGAGAACAGGTAGGTTGTCAGAGTTTTGACTATCAACAACGACCTGTTGGGTGCGACCATATAAAAATGACCTAGTCCATGAGATGACCTCTGAGCTAACACCTAGTCTGTGTAGTTTAAGGAGAAGTTTGTGATGGTCGACTTTATCAAATGCTTTGCTGAAGTCCATGACAATGACATCGGTCTGTTGGCCTTGCTCTAGATTGTCATGAACTTCCTGGGTGAAACTGATAAGCTGGGTTTCACAGCTATGTTTTGACCTGAAACCATGTTGGAAATTGCTGAGAATATCATGCTTGTCGTAGAAAGACATGATATTGGAGACAATTATATGCTCCATTAGCTTAGAAGCAATGCAGGTTAGTGATATAGGCCTGTAGTTACTAGGCTTACATTTTGGGCCTTTCTTATAAACAGGGGCAATGACTGCGTGCTTCCAGTCATGAGGGACAGTACCAGATTTTAAGGAAATTTGGAAGATGTGTGTGAGAACTGGGGTAATTTCAGTATGAAGTTCTTTCAATAACCTTGGGGAGAGTTGGTCGGGACCAGAGGCTTTGCTCGGGTTTATAAAACCTCTGAGGAGTTTCTTTACTCCTTCCTCTGTTATGTTGATATTTGGCATTTTTGGATGATTTTGTGGAGAAAGCAATTGTTTACATGACTGGTTTAGACTTAATGGTTGGGGGCGGGAGAAGACAGACAAAATTGTTTATTTAGTATGTCTGCCTTCATTTTAGGATCAGTAAAGGTTTGATCATCACTCTTTAAAGGTGCTACTCCACAGTTTTCTGTATTGTTTGATTTGATGAAAGAGTAGAACTTGTCTAAATACAACCAGTATGAGTTCCTTATTTCTTTTTGTATTTTACCGCTAAGCTTTTTTTTTAATTTGCTAAGCAGGGAAGGGGTATTAGACTGTTTAATTTTTGAATACAGTCGATGACGTTTCCTTATTTGGCCAATGATGTTTGGATTTAACCATGGTAGATCGTAACGTACCTTAGTTCTCTTCGAGGGGATATGGATTGAACTGAGTTGGGTTAATTCATTCTTAAATAAAATCCAGGCATGTTCATTTATCTATTTAATTCTATCTATCTATCTTCCATTAATATCAAACCCTTCGCGGGGACGAAGACATGACTCTAGACTAGTCACTTGAGAGAAAGCTATAAGATACAAGGGAATATGGGAACTAGTCCTTAGCTCTTTTGGTTTTTTTACATGCCCATTGTATAGCACTGATACATTACCTGAATTTCTTACCAATACACCTCTACACTTAACAAATCTTATAAGTGTGCACGTATAAAAATCAAATTTTCTCAGATACTAATAAACATAGGTCTCTGAAATTTTAACCAAGTATAGTACAGATATGTGCAATGATAGGTATCGATTTTTATGTCAGGGCGATTCGTACTTACTGAAAAATAGCGATGTGTGCAATATTGCGCGAAAACCGAATTTCAATTTTCTGTAAAATGTGTATTTATATTGGGTGCAAAAAGGTCTAAATCTCTTGATTTCACTAAAATACAAACATAAAACATAGGATCACCGATAGGGTATAATACTACAATGAATTCCAGGGCATTATGTCACTTTGATTTTAATATTTGCTTTATTGAATTTCAGTAAAGACTGGTTTATGTCGATCTCCGTAACGCGTTGTACCCAGTTGCTAAAAGCAATGCAAACACGATATTTTCATTAATATGAAAGTACCAAGAAAGTTTGTTTTTAGTTTTAAAGTAAAATCTTAGTCAATATGTTTATTTGAGAAAATATTATGCAAATTTATTTTCAAAATGGGCGCCTGAAATGCAAATTCCCTTGCGTAAAACTTCTTGACGGCCATTTTTCTTTCAATTGCAAAAATTCTGCAATAAATTTATGTTTTTTGGATGTCTTTATTTTAATAGAATCCTTGATGGTCAATAATAACTTCATTAAGCGCCAACCTGTCACCCTCACGTGCACTTTGTTGTTTATGTCATGTCACGGATGAACGCACACAACCAAAATAACCGTTATTTCTGAATATAGCATTGTAAAAATAGACGATTCAAACGATGAATTCCAAAATTTGGGTAAAAAATGTCAAGTAATAAAAAAGTTATTCACATTTAAAAACTGCACAGTTATAAGTTTTGTTAAGTGTATTTAGGTGGGAAACACTGAAAGTGTCTCTAAAAAATCCCAAGGTTGTTGCTGGGCGGAGGCAAAATTGTGTGTGAGTGTGTGTGGGGGCTATCCTAATATTTAATAAACTGGTACAAAATAACCGATCAACTACATTGATATATTCTTACGCAGGGTATGTGGTCCTTCCACACGAAGGAATAAAACAAACAAAAACTGCATGTCCAATGGTGACAGCTGCTCTATTTTAGGTGCACATTTTATAATACAAGTTTCTACATATTTTTCTCATAATTTCCAAATAATATGCAACCTGTGGTTTTAGACTTTAGTCGATATTTGATAAAAAAATCTTAAAATTTAATAACATAGAAGTTTTTGATGTCATATTTCACGTACACAATTTAAAATTTGTGTTCCCTACAATTTCCAAGAAAAAAATATTTCAAGACTTCTTTTGAATACTAAATGATGGCTTCTGATGCAGTTTCTACATTTTCCAGATCTTACATTTGTTTGTAACTTTCATAGTTTACTATTTTCATGAGAGAGATCCATGGCAATAAAAGGATCAAGGGATTCCTAAAACAAATCTCATGCAAGGATTCATTTCATTTGAAAAAATAGTGATTATCGATCCCTGAAGTGTAAACAATATTATCTGAAAGGCTCTCTATGTATATATTTCTGTGTCTATATAATTTATTGTATATACATGCAGCTTCTATAGACCAAATGGTAATATGCATTGATCTATATCATGATTCAAGACAGCTAGTGAATAAAACATAAAACAACGAGAAGTACATGTAGGATGTTTACAGTTCATTATTGCTACGGATAACGAAATTTACCGTGACAAAATTTAACATCAAATGTAAATTTTTGATGTAAATAAACATTTATGTTGACAATGAAATTATTATATAATGGATTAATGGAAGAAAATCATTGTCCGTTCGTCCGAACTTTCGCCATTTCGTCCATAATCTTAGTTTAAAAGAAAAAGCCGGTAAAATATGTGTAGAAATTGCAAATAAAGATCGCAGAAAAGCCCATAAACCTCAAATGTTGGCACATCCGCCCGTATGTCCGTCCGTCATGTTGTTGAAGTATAAAATTTAAACACTTTCAGTAAGTAACCTAAAACGTCATGTCTGGTCACTAAGAAATACGTACAGTGTCAAAGAAACATAACTTTTGTAAAATTTTGAAATTGCTGTCCTTTTCTTTATATTTCTGAAGGACATAACGAACGAATAGGTCTATATTCATATATAGATATGTATATACATTATTCGAGAGTTCTATGTGCAACGGAACTGTCAAAGTGTTTTTTAAAGAAATTATTGCCATTTCATTTTTTTAAACTTTAATTATCGGCAATAATAAAATACTACTGTAGTCACTACACACATATTAGGGCTAATCAATTATACATGTATTCTGTAAAATAGAAAACATAATATACAGTTCTATCTATATATACTGTAATCAGAATCGAGGTATGATATGTTGTACTAAGTATTCGTTCCTGGTGTAATATACATGGATATATAAAAATTTATTCCTGTAAACAGTGTTAATTTTGCACCCAACCTGTGAAGATTGACGAATTTATTCATCTTCTTAGATCAAACAAGTTTTCAGGTATAGCATTTTTCAGAAGAACTGTACTGTATTTATAAAAACTATTTTAAATAAGTTTATTTCAAAACAAATTCGTACTTACTTTTAAACTATTTGATCAATCTATCATTTGATTATTATAAAGTCGTCTGGTTGCGTATCCACATGCGTAATCTATTATTTGACAAGATATATATATCTGTATAGTATATCAATATATTATTGCACAATAATGTGATATAAGTCACTGTACTGTATGGTGTAGGTTTTTAAAAAGGAAATACGAGAGTAATCGAACTTTTGTGACCCGGAAGTTAGAAATGGCGTAGTTGGAAACAGGGAATTCCGTTTAAATTAAAGAAGAAATTATGTTATTAAAATCAGCTGGGCTAGATTTTATCCATTAAGGTCGATAAAAGTTTGTATTAAATAATATCTCAGTTTCAATTTATTGCATTAGGTCGTGTTGTTTACAGATATTGTTAATTGATAATAGATATAACCAAACTCAAAGAAAATTTATTATGAATTTATCTATTTAAACTTTTTAACATTTTAACTTTCGAATTTAATGTAAGTATTTGTTACACTACTGGTCGAGGACCATCAAAGGGACACTATTTGAACATTTTCCCTAGACAGATTTTAAAACTTTAAAGCTAGAGATCGGTTCTCCTAACTAACAAACTAGGTTCGTTAATTTATGATTATCATTATGTTGACACTTATAACCGAGTCTTGTCATGGAGGGTATCAAAATTATCAGATTTCCTGAAAGACGTCTGACCAAGGGACATGTACGACATAAGCTTAAATGGGTCCCGACAGTCTGACAGGTTTTTTTTTAGATTCAAGGGAGACTAATAAAAGTAATATTTAGGAAATAGATATCAATTCTGAGTGCATTGTTGTAGAATAATGCACGGTTTGAGTTCAAATGCGTAGTAATATAATCACAAAGGCCAATAGGCCTGAGTGATTAATTACAAAGCATTTGAACGAAAATCATGCATTATTGAATAATAATGCACGAAGAATTAATATCTATTTCCATTCTAACACGTCAAGAAAAAATATAATTATTATTATAAAGTTGGGCTTTATGTTTGGTGGTTAAATTTGTTTTTCGGCTCAGAGTTTCCAATAGAAACGTTTTTTAAAGGCTGTTCCAGTGGCAGGGTTCCCTCTGGGTCAAAATAAGTTTGCGCCACCAAATTCGCCAATCAGAAAAAGTTGGAGCCAATGGCTCCAAAGTTGGAGCCAATAATTCTGCAAGGGAGACATGCCTATCTTTGCTAAGATATGCTAGCAGTTATATATCATTATGATTACAAACACATATTTATAATATTTCATTTTATTACAGCTGCACATGTTTATTATCTAAAATATAGACATACTATTATGTGGTTTTCAAATTCCATTTAAATAAATACACATGACGGCATAAATGTAATCAAAAACATCATGTTAAGTTAGTCATGGGAGGTCCTGTTTTCCACCATTTTGCCAGTATAGCAGTTCTTCTCACAGGCTGGACTGAGCCAAGATCTTTCCCAGCCTCTACCCGACAATCTGGTGATCTACAGATACAAAATTAAAAAAAAACAACATTACTATAAATTGACTTCATCTAAAAATCAAGGAGAACAAAAAATGAAATAGATACTAAGTTAGTAAGTATTTTTAACAATGAAAAATATTGTTTATTTTACTTTACATTCAGATATGAAAATATTAACATTGCAGTACAGTGACTTTAGATCAATCATTGGTGAAATTATTCTTTTAATTGTCATCCGATTTAATATTCAAAATGTAATTATTTTTAATCAGTTGACGAGTCAACTTACCGAATGTTCAATGTTTGTCAACATCACGGACGATCTTTCACTTCTCTGTCGGCTACTAACACCTGTTGACCACACATGTCAGAGAATGAAAGACGTAAATTATTCCATTTAACACGTTGACACTTTCATCTTCACATGTTCCCGAAGTGTCACATAATTGATCACATAATTGATTAAACGGTACCCGATTATACAGTTTGATAAACTAATAGCGCGTGACCTTTCACATTTGGGCCGCTTATGTAATTAACGCGGCCGCTTATGACATTTAAGTGTACTAGTTGTCGGATGCTTTTATCTAACGTTGGCGCCAGTTAAATTCGCCAATTAAAGATTTTATGCGCCAGAATTAATATATTGTCGCATTTGGCGCCATTGGCGAGCGACAGCGGGAACCCTGAGTGGGTTGAAAAAAACTGTCGTTCAATCTACAGTGTGTAGAAACATTTTCAGAATAACGAATTTTGAAAACGTTGATAAAACTTTGTTTGTTTATTTTATTTCACTCTTTAATTTTTCAAGCAAAATACAAATTATTAAAAGTTGAATAAATGTAAAACTTAACTCGTTTGCGACATTAAAATATCGTATTTGATTTGATTGCTTTGCACGTGCTGTTTGGCGCTACATTGTGACGTCACGTACACAACACTTTAAACGTCTGTACAGCATTAACGACTGAATTAAAGATATTGGTGTTCGGATTCATTTTCTTAGTTTGACCATTTTTTTTATTCTAGAGATAGTTTTCACAACAAAATTCCACAAAAATGGCGCCCTCAATGTGAAAATACACAGGGAGATAATAAGAACTGCGAGTGCATTGTTGTAGAATAATGCACGCTTCGGGCCTTCTTTGTTTATATAGAAAAATTTCCGATAGTGTTAGAATGATAAATTACACAATTTTTGCTTGTGAGATTACTCTTCCTTGAACATTGCGCACTGTAAAAATTATTTTCATGCAGTGGCCGATATCATGAAATAAACCAATGACCGATAGCTGCACAATTGGCATTTACAGCACAAGTAAACATGGCATGCTTGATGTATTACAGGGATTGAGTTTAATTCGAAGGTTAAAATGTTATCTTACACCTTGCTTGTTTTCAAATTGCTGTAAATGTGTTGGGCTGACAGATTTTTTGTCAGTCTGACAAAATTCAAGGGTTTGTCAGACCGAATGTTTGATACTTTTTAGCTCACCTGTCACAAAGTGACAGGGTGAGCTTTTGTGATCGCTTTTCGTCCGTCGTCCGTCCGTCGTCCGTCCGTCCGTAAACTTTTGCTTCAAATGACATCTCCTCATAAACCACTGAGCCAATTTCATCCAAACTTCAGAGGAATGTTCCTTTGGTGGTCACCTTTAAAAATTGTTCAAAGAATTTAATTCCATGCAGAACTCTGGTTGCCATGGCAACCAAAAGAAAAAACTTTAAATATCTTCTTTTAAAAAACCATAAGAGCTAGAGCTTAGATATTTGGCATGAAACATCTTCTAGTGAGTGTCTACCAAGTTTGTTCAAATAAAAGCCCTGGGGTCAAAATTGGCCCCGCCCCTGGGGGTCATTGATTTTCCCTATATACATATAGTAAAAACTTAAAAAATCTTCTTTTAAAGAACCATAAGAGCTAGAGCTTAGATATTTGGCATGAAACATCTTCTAGTGAATGTCTACCAAGTTTGTTCAAATAAAAGCCCTGGGGTCAAAATTGACCCCGCCCCAGGGGGTCATAGATTTTCCCTATATGCATATAGTAAAAACCTAAAAAAATTTCTTTTAAAGAACCAAAAGAGCTAGAGCTAAGATATTAAGCATGAAACATCTTCTAGTGAGTGTCTACCAAGTTTGTTCAAATTAAAGCCCTGGGGTCAAAAATTGGCCCCGCCCCGGGGATCATTGATTTTCCCTATATACATATGGTAAAAACTTAAAAAATCTTCTTTTAAAGAACCATAAGAGCTAGAGCTTAGATATTTGGCATGAAACATCTTCTAGTGAATGTCTACCAAGTTTGTTCAAATAAAAGCCCTGGGGTCAAAATTGACCCTGCCCAGGGGGTCATAGATTTTCCCTATATGCATATAGTAAAAACTTAAAAAATCTTCTTTTAAAGAACCCAAAGAGCTAGAGCTAAGATATTTAGCATGAAACATCTTCTAATGAGTGTCTACCAAGTTTGTTCAAATAAAAGCTCTGGGGTCAAAATTGGCCCCGCCCCAGGGGGTCATTGATTTTCCCTATATGCATATAGTAAAAACTTAAAAAAATTTCTTTTAAAGAACTCAAAGAGCTAGAGCTAAGATATTTAGCATGAAACATGTTCTAATGGGTGTCTACCAAGTTATGTTTCAAATAAAAGCCCTGGGGTCAAAACTGGCCCCGCCCGGGGGGGGGGGGTGTCATTGATTTTCCTTATATGTGTATAGCAAAAACTTAAAATCTTCCTTGGAAAAACCCAAATAGCTAGAGTTTAGATATTAAGCATGAAACATCTTTAAGTAATTATCTACAAAGTTTGTTAAAATAAACGCCCGGGGGTCAAAAACTGGCCCTGCCCCAGGGGTGACATTGTTTTAAACTATATGTGTATAGTAAAAACTTTAAAAATCTTCTTTTAAAAAAAGCCAATGAGCTAGAACTTAGATGTTTAGCATGAAACATCTTCTTATGGGTGTGTACCAAGTCTGTTCAAATAAACAAATAAAAGCCCTTGGGTAAAAATTGGCCCGGGGGTGGGGGGCCTATATACAGGTGAGCGACCTCAGGGCCATCATGGCCCTCTTGTTTCAAAATCTCAGGAAGTCTGATATTAAATTACCTAAATTGTCCAGTATGTGGAGTTTGGCCCTTTTTCATGTACTATATGATACAAATGTATGTAGAGAAATATTCTTTTGTGTATTACACCTCTCCTGCATTCAATGTTATGTATGTATTTCCAATAATAACAGACTTTTCAACAAAATTTTGAATTTTGTTATCTGTTTTAATGTTTCAGGTTTTGAAACAAGGGGTCAATGGGTGCTGGTGTTGTAAAACCAGATTTACAGAATGGAATTCATATTCAGATTCATACAGGTAGAAATCCAGCCAGTATGGGATCACATAATTCATCAGAACTGAAGTGCGAAGAATGTACATCTAAGTTCTCACAGATTAGAAAACAGGTATAAAATGCATAAATATATATAACCTATTGTATATGCCAGCCCGCATAGCTCAATCGGTTAGAGCGCGAGACTTGTAATCTCGACATTGTGGGTTCGATTCCCGGGCTGGCCAACTATAATTACTAAAATCAGTCTTTCGGATGAGACTTTAAATCGAGGTCCCGTGTATGGGTGCTTAAACACTTGGCACGCTAAAGAACCAGGAGAAGCTTCTGGAATTTGGGCATCTTTCTGTATCTGTAATTGCACTATCCTCCAAAAATCTAAAATGACTAATACTCTTCTGGAGGACTCGCCCATATGGGCAACCAGTGGCGAGTATAAATAAACGCAAATACACACACAACCTATTGTATTACTCAGATTGGGATCCAAGGTTTCAATTGAGTAAAAATTGGGGTTCTGATAGTTAATGCTTTCCTCTATATCGGATATTTTAATTATGATTTTATCTTTGCCTTACTTCTTATTCCAATAAGAGTGCAAGTTTTGATATTTCTGACAGTCTATTTTTGCATAAACTGTCTTCAAGTAGAGTTTAACCATTCATTTAAACATCACATCTTGATAAACATTTCATGTGCCTATGAAAAGCACATCAACAGCTTCAGTCACATGTAAGTCACTCCTGATCTGTTTAAATACATATGTAGTTAATATTTTCTTTATTAGCGTTTAACTGTTACTTACAGATTAATAGACTCGACATTTCTTTTAATGATGTTATTATTTTAATTATTTAGCTTCCATGTAAGGATTGTGAGAGGAAGTTTTGCTCAGTGTGCTACAACAGTGCATTAAGACAGTGCAAGAAATGCCAAATTCTGCTGTCGGGCAATTTTACTCGTCCACAGCTGAAACAATGGAAACCAAAAGACTTGAAAGCATTACTGCATAAACATGATGTAAACACAACAAAATGCCGGGAGAAGGATGACCTTATTGACCTCATTTTCTCCTATTTTGGTGCCACTAATAGAGGGGAAAGCAACCCAGGAAGAACCTCAAGGAATTCTTCAGTAAGTAGCAGTGCACTCTTAACACGGTGGTTTGAGTAAGTGAGTTGCCTAAAGTTTCTTAACCTCGCCAAGTTTTAACATGAAAGCCAAATCAACTTCGCCACGCTTTTTTTAAAATACTTACAGTATGTACAGATCTTAATGTATCACATTAAATTGCATCCTGGCCTATGAGTGTAACTTAAAACTTCGTTGGTAAAGCACAGTTTCTGCAGACAATTGACTGCAATTAACACATTTATGTGACGTGATATGCAGCTCCATTAGACAAAGTGCCTGTAGACATTAAACATTTTATTGTTATGATTAAAATATGTGTGTCACAATATACTGGTTTTTAGGGGGGATAGTTTCTATTCTCAACAGAAGTTTTTTTGTATACATGCAGGAACTGTTGGTAGTAGTTATGTAAGTATTGACATAAAGACACTTCCATGCAGACATGGGTCTGATAACTTGAAAAAGCTATTAATGAATTAATGATTATTTTGCTTTTCAGTAATTCATTCTTTATAAATACTGTCAAATTATTTGTTATGATTGATTATGATTATTTTGAAGACCAAGATCAGCTGGCACATGGGCTGATCATGTTCTACTCTGTTCACTTTTCTGTCAGTAGATATTTTGAAAATTTTCCCCAAAAAATATTTTGTCCAAATTGAAAGATCATCAAGTCTTTTTAAGACTTTAAGGATGATAAAGGTTAGAACCGTAACTGTTTGCTGGGTTTCAGGATGAGGCAAGACAACAAAGTCAAGGGGAGCAACAATCAAATGTGGCAGGTGCTAGTCAGTCAGGGTATACACCAAATAGAACAGAAACCAGTCAAACAGGAAGTGGTAATGGTGAACCATTCCAGAATAATGGAACACAGTCAGATCAGACAGGAAATGGATTGAATAACCAGTCGGGAACTGGTACACAGTCAGGGATAAATGACCAATCAGAACCCATGGATACAAATGAGGTAATTTTTATGAACTGAAGAGAAATACACATAATAAATTAGCTGTTTATAATTTTATTACACAGTTTTTTCTGTATAAAGATTAGATATATGCAGCGTATAAGAACCACAACTATCTTTAATTGCCCACAACCATAACTCTATTTCAATTCTTTTACAAGGTATTCTGTTACTTGTGACTTCCTCATTTCTTAAGCTTCTTTTTGGGGTATTAATCACATTTAGTGATAGTTCTAGTTTTATATAATTTAATTTACATGTAGTTTTATTAAATGACTTTTATGGAAAAAGTAAAATCTTTTTAACTTAATAATTTTTCTGCCGTTTTTAGTGACCAAATCACAAGTACAGTATTTACATCTCTAACATTTTCAAGGTTCTTGGTTATTTCATTCAAAGCACCTTACAGATTTGAACAAGGAGTAAATAACAAATTTATAGTCTATTGAGCAATCAGTGGGGTACTGTTTTACCTACATGTGCCTAAAATGGTCAGAGTTTCTTCAGTCTATCACCTCCTTTAAGCAATAAATTTTCTTATATGGCCAACTGTATCAGTTTCATTTACTGAACATTACATCATATTGTCTATCTTTTCATCATGTATTTTTTCAGAAAAATGAGAGTGATATGTTACGTATAAAATTAGAAGATGTAAAATCAGAAGAACATATAGAACAGCTCAGTATTAAGTGCCTCAAACGTCTACTGCTCAACAATTTTGTCGACTATAAGGGTTGCTGCGAGCGCTGGGAGCTCCAGGAACGAGTGAAGCGACTTTGGAAAGATGATCAGGCAAACAAACAGAAAGGTATCAAAGTTTGATAAGATATTGCTACTTTAAGCCTGATTGTGAAATAAGTTCATACAACTTATATTAATAATTTTTTGAGGTTGTTTATGAATTTACCCAAACGGATGTAATGTGAGAAAAAATGGTCACAACCTAAATAGGGCTCGAACCAACAATGAAAACTCAGTGTGTCTTGTTTACAGTGCAATGAACACACATTACTTAAACAAAGTGCATGAAGGAATGATTTAGATATAACGTCAATACATTTAGGTACACTTGGAATAGCTTTTTTTCATCATGTATTTATTTTTTATGATTGTGCATAAACAGCTATACAAAAAGAACCCTTTCCACCTATTTCTGACTTTCAATGAAGTTTTATTCATGATCCATAATTATACGCCCGTTTGAAAAACGGGACGTATTATGGGAACGCCCCTGGCAGGCGGGCGGTCGGGCGGGCGGCGTCCAATTTTGTCCGGAGCATATCTCCTACATGTATGGAGGGATTTTAATGAAACTTCATAGAAATGTTCACCACTATGAGGAGCAGTGTCGCGAACATGAACCAGGTCTCTAGGTCAAAGGTCAAGGTCACACTTGGAACTCATTGAAAAATGCTTGTCTGGAGCAAAACTTCCACATGTATAGAGGGATTTCAATATTACTTGGCACAAATGTTCAGCATTGTGAGGCGGAGTGTCGCGCGCAAGATTCAGGTCCTTGCGGCCAAGGTCAAGGTCACACATAGAGGTCAAAGTTCAGATAAAAATATTATGATGTGTATATGGACCATTTAGTCATCATTTATTGAGGGATTGTAACACAAATGGTCAATATCAAGACTATGGCTGTGATACATATAATTTAGGTCAATATATACAAGGTCAAGGTCACTAAAGATGATGAAATATCCAGATTTTGTCCGGAGCATATCTCCTACATGTATGGAGGGATTTTAATGAAACTTCATAGAAATGTTCACCACAATGAGGAGCAGTGTCGCCAACATGAACCAGGTCTCTAGGTCAAAGGTCAAGGTCACACTTAGAGCTCATTGAAAAATGCTTGTCCGGAGTAAAACTTCCACATGTATAGAGGGATTTCAATATTACTTGACTCAAATGTTCACCATTGTAAGGCGGAGTGTCGCGCGCAAGATTCAGGTCCTTTTGGTCAAGGTCAAGGTCACACATAGAGGTCAAAGTTCAGATAAAAATATGGTGATGTGTATATGGACCATTTAGTCATCATTTATTGAGGGATTGTAACACAAATGGTCATTATCAAGACTATGGCTGTGATACATATAATTTAGGTCAATATATACAAGGTCAAGGTCACTAAAGATGATGAAATAACCATATTTTGTCCGGAGCATTTCTCCTACACGCATGGAGGGATTTTAATGAAATTTCATAGAAATGTTCACCATTATGAGAAGCCATGTCATGCACATGAACTAGGTCTCTAGGTCAAAGGTCAAGGTCACACTTTGAGCTCATTGAAAAATGCTTGTCCGGAGCAAAACTTCCACATGCATAGAGGGTTTTCAATATTACTTGGCACAAATGTTCACCATTGTGAGGAGGAGTGTCGCGCACAAAATTCAAGTCCCTGCAGCCAAGGTCAAGGCCACACATAGAGGTCAAAGTGTAGATAAAAATATGAAGATGTGTATAGGGACGATTTTATCATCATTTATTGAGGGATTGTAACACAAATGGTCATTATCATGACTATGGCTATGACACATGTACTTTACGTCAATATATGCAAGGTCAAGGTCACTTAAGATGGTGAAATATCCAGATTTTGTCTGGAGCATATCTCCTACATGTATGGAAGAATTTTTATAATGCTTTATGGAAATGTTCACCACCATGATATGTATTGCTATATGCATGATCCAGGTCTCCAGGTCAAAGGTCAAGGTCACACTTAGAGCTCATTGAAAAACGCTTGTCCGGAGCAAAACTTCTACATTCATAGAGGGATTTCAATATAACTTGGCACAAATGTTCACCATTGTGAGGCTGAGTGTTGCACGCAAAATTCAGATCCCTGCGACCAAAGTCAAGGTTACACATAGAGGTCAAAGTTCAGATAAAAATTTGAAGATGTGTATAGGGACCATTTAGTCATCATTTATTGATGGATTGTAGCACAAATGGTAACTATTATGACTACAGGTGTGACACATTTAATTTAGGTTAATATTTGCAAGGTCAAGGTCACTGGAGATGATTAAATATCCAGATGTTGTCCGGAGCATATTTTCTACATGCATGGAGGAATTTTAATGTTACTTTATAGAATTGTTCACCACCATGAGATGAGTGCCCTGCACATGAACCAAGTCTCTAGGTCAAAGGTGAAGGTCACAGTTAGAGCTCATAGCAAAACGCTTGTCTGGAGCAAAACTTCTACATGCATAGAGAGATTTCAATATAATTTGGCACAAATGTTCATCATTGTGAGGCTGAGTGCCGTGCATTATTCAGGTCCCTGCGACCAAGGTCAAGGTCACACATCCTGTGCATATCTTCCCTACTGATTTGTTTTAAGGTTCATGAAACAACACAGTGCCAAGGATAAAAACTTGCTTGCTAGATAACACTTATCCATAATGCCCCCATCTCAATCTAAAGCTTTCGTAAACGGGCGTATTTTGTGACTATGGCACCCTTGTTTTTTTCTCAGATGATTCTAGAGCTGATTCAGTGCACTTTGTTTTATCAATCCTTTCTTCTGCTTAAAAAGTTGATAAAAATTGTCATGGAAAATAAAAAGGAAACTTCACTCAAGAGTACGAAACAGCCAAGGAAATTGCTCCTGAACTCACCAATACTGATGATTTGAGAAAAAAATGGTCAGGTCCTAAACAGGGCTCGAACCCACATAGGAAGCTCTGTGTGTTTTATTTACAAAGTAATGGACCCACATGATGATGTGTAAATGTTAATGATCTTGCAAACATGGGTTTTTGACCCTGTGTTTAGACTTGTAATTGTCCTTGAAAAACAGTGGTGCACTTGCTGCAATGCCCTTTTCTGTCAAATAAAAAGTTTAAGCAAAGAACTAGTAAATAATTTATTATATTAGTTTGTTTGTAATTTTAATGTTAACTTATTTGGAAAGCTGGTATGTTTATATTTAATTCTATTTCATCTAATTTTCAGTATTAAATGATATTGTGCTGGGTGCATGCGCATCAATGTGCTTCCGCCCTGTCGAAGCACGGGGATCAAAATTTATACTTAGCAATATATATCTCTCATAGAATTATTATTGAACTTAAACTTCCTAAAGTAAGTCTTGTTTAATTTCAAATTATATCTTATTTGTCTCTATGTTTTTACAGCTGATCAGCAGAGAAAAGTGTCGGATGACCCATCACTTGCCACAAACATGTCTTCTAACAGTGAGGATGACTTGTGTAAAATATGCATGGATGCAGCTATAGATTGTGTCCTCCTGGAGTGTGGTCACATGGTCACATGTACACAATGTGGCAAAAGACTGTCCGAATGCCCTATATGTCGCCAGTACGTCGTACGTGCTGTGCACATATTCAAGGTTTAATTTGTGTGACTTTCACAAATTTATTAAGTCACATGATGTGACAATTTGACTAATAAAGTGACAGGACATTTTGTCTGATTTTGGTTTACATGACAATGGTTGCAGTGTGATAAAAACCATAATTGGCAGTCATTCGAATCAAGTGTGATATTTTTGTATCAACATTATGATGTTGGTGCTGATGTTTTTGTTTGTGTAGTTACTTGAATGTTTAATCTTAAAACAGTTTTTTTGAACTTGTAAGTGCATAGTTAAAGGCATTCTTAACTTTGGGAAATAAAGAATTTTAGAACATTGTTTTATGATGTTTAAATAATTGATAAAGAGCATGTTAAATGTGTATCATGTGAGGAAAGTAGCATTGCATGTGACATAGTTATGTAGTGTTTTGTCTTTGATACAAAATATTAAATCACTATAACTTTACCAATGGGCAAAAAGAGAAAGATGCTTTACATATGTTGTTAAGGAGTACCCATTTTATAACTCTTGAGGTATGTTTTTAACAAAAAGCTTTTGATGAATTAAAAATAAAAGCACATTTGTTGCATTATGAGCCTTAAATATATCATTTGACTTAATGCACAAGTCATATGGAAATACAGCACCCACCACCCAAAGGCAATAGCAAAGACATTGACTTTGGATTTTCAAAACCCTTGTTAAGGCTTTGCACTGCAGGAACAGATATAAAATCCTCAATAAATGCCCCCTCCCCTACACTGTTAATTGGACATTTTGGCACCAAACAAATCACCGCTTGACCCAACAGTGCAGCAAGAGATGGAAATTAGAAATTGCTAAATCAACTCCCCTTCTCCCCCACTCACACACTGGTACTGCTGACACAAATCCCTGCACTGCCTTTGGGATGGTAGAGGGACTGGTGTAACAGTAAACTAATGCATGATAACTGTCGGTTTCATTTTATAAGTTTATATAAAGGAAAATGTTGTTCAAATTATTGATTTATGCTTCCTTATAGGTAAAATGGAAGTTATATTTTTGTTTATTTTGGCTATGCACTTACCTGGGCAAAATCATGGTTAATTATTTGAAAGTGGCATTCACTGTATTTCTGTATATCAGTAAATTCAGGACAAAAATAGCTTTAATTTACCAAAGGAAGGGACCAAAATTTATTTTGTATCTATAAATATTTGTTTTGTTTCTATAAATTTTGTAAATTTAATATGTAAGTAATTATGATTCATTGTACCAAAACAGACCTGGGTTTGATTTAAAAACTTTACACTGCTTTACATAATGTATTTTTTTAAAATTCTGTTTGTATTCAAACCATGTCTGTTAGAAAAGTGTAAACTAGAACATGTCATAGCTCCATTGTGGCTTAAGCTGTATACTTATTTTAGAAAATATAACACGAAAAACATGGTTATTACCAAACGAAGGCTTAATACATGAAATAAGGCTAATTTTATTATAATTAAATTATTATTTTTGATTACTTGATTGTTTACTAGATTGATTTCTGTGTCGTTTTTGCAGTGTGAAACCTTTACTTCCAGGATTAGGGATAACTTTCAAGAAATATAAAAAACAAGTAATCTTGATGGGAAATGATGTCTCTGTTAAAACTAGTTATTTGAAGAAATAAACTTAAAACAGACATTAAACAGTTGTCGACTGAGGTCAAAAAGCTTAAAGATATAAGTTTAAAATTCTTACATAGATCAGGTGAAGGTATTAAAATTGGAAAATCTGCAAAGGATAAAAAAAGAAATGTACTTAAAATTAAATAGAATATTGATTTTTGTGCGATTTTTAGCCCTGATTTGAGCTACACATTTCATTTTTTGGTTATACTGCACATGGAGGAATGATCTGAAAATTTGCATACCAGTTATTGAACCAGACTTACACAAAATAGTGCAAAAATATCGGAATTTTTTTTCCAGTCCTGTCATGTCAAAAAAACCTTAGTGGAGTCCCTAATAAGCTTTATACGCCAAAGTAAAATAATTACCTTCCCTTTGTGTTATATACTTTTTTCCCCCTTTAAATGGAGATAATCTGGATTTGGCTAATGTCAGGTTTTCCAATATAATCCAAGGCTGCCAGCAAACTTTTTCAGTAACAACTTTGTTAGATCACTTTATTGTGAATGGTTGAGCACAGTGATACTTTATAAGTTTGTTTGTAAACCAGGAATTAGATGGGAAATGCCCACATTTACCGAGTTCCAAATAACATTTGTATGAGTGCCACTTCTATAGATCTGTTATATATTGTACATTGGTATGTAAATTTGTTATTTATATATTTTGAGACTCTTTTACATGTTTTAAGAAATATATGCATAATGTCAAACTAATACCATAATGCTAACTTAACATGGTAGTATGCAAATATGTATACATTTGTATATAAGATTATTGTATTATAAATGTGATTCGTTTTGTGACAGTCTACAACTATGCCATAAGCCCCAAGACCAAAAATATTTCAATGGGGTTATTGATTCTGTAAAAAGTACAAGCCTCAAATTAATTGTTTTCTGTAACTATGCCTTTAAAAGATTTTCACTCAATATTGTTAATTCAGAAAACAATGATATGGTAAGAATGATTTTGAAAATAACTTTAATTAATTTCAACAATTTGTTGGAGAATTATATTGTTAATATTTGAAACAAAATGTGTTATTTTAAAATATCTGTTTTCGATTTTCAACATCAGCCCATTTTAAATATCTTTAAATAACTTCATTTTGAAATAATTCATACTTGAATAGGTTTTTTTAAAGGCTCATGTTGCACACTGTTATGAACTGTAGATAGTAGATACTTGTTTTTATTTCATTATTCAAGTAATTTGCATATACTTTTGTTAAAAGGAACACCAATTTTATCATATATTCAGGTTAAATCAGGTACATGTATCTTAATTCATTATTCAGCTTAGCCTTTTGGAGCCAAAAGTGGTCAGCCTTTTCCACCAATATAGAACCAGGTCTGCCTGCAGTCTGACCTGGTTTACTATTTTTTTGAAATTTTTATACATCAAACTTTGATAATGAACAGTTCCAAAACTTACAGCTTGACAAAGTACATTTTGGGAAGTTCAGCAATTCAACCACCATATTTCTAACCCATAACTAATTAACTAGTATATTTTGTGTGTATTAAACCTTGAAAGTATGATGTATTGAACCTTGAAGAGGTTGATAACCGACCTTTGGAAAGGTGTATTGATAAGATACAATGTTGACATTGTTGAGGATAATTTTGAATATGATAAGAAAACTATCTTAAGTATATACATTTACATCATATGCATTTGGCCATAGGGTTCTAGGTTATTAACTTAACATTGTGTTTACATAAAAATTACAGCAAGCAACAAGGGGAAATGAGTAAGGCAGTTTAAGGCATATTTATGGAAATCTTTTAACGGTTATTCAAGTTGAACTACATGTGTTGCAAATTTACCATTTAATTGACTTTTCAAGCGGAATTTACTTCCCAAGTACTTATGAAAAGCAAGTACCAATATGTCATAGTTCTTTAGGAGTTTAATGCTTTATGAATATGTTGCAGATTTATTATTTAATTGACTTTTCAAGTGCAATTTACTTCAGAGTACAATTAAAAACAAGTAACACCACCATCCTAAATTGTTTAGACTTGAAATTTAAAAAAAATGCCAGTATTGTTTTGTTAAGTTTATTGTCTCGGTTCTATAGTTTGTTTCTTTTCTTTAATTTATGTAAAATAGATAAGTTCTTAGAAGTTTAATATTCTTATGTTTATCATGTTCATTGAGATACAAATAAGTGTTTTTTTTCATTTTAAAGTACCTTAACATCCACTGACCAGTGACTGACCATGAACTTACCTAAAAATATCTACAGTTTTCTGTTAAGGTCACTTTCACAAAAATGAGTAAAATCCAGTGCTTATACACTCAATTTTAATATCCTTTAATTAATTCTTAAGTACCTATGTTTATTTTTCAAAATCAAATTCTATGATTTTAGATTTTGATCAAATAAAAGTTTCAATCATTATTTTATTTATTTTTGTTCTTTTTGCAAAAACTTACCGATACGAATTATTATAATTATCTTTATGCTCAATTGTTTTGTTTTATTTATATGTCTGAGCTTTTTTGTTCTACTTTGTTTATTTTGAAACAACCATTAGTCATTTCTTTCTCACCATGTTTAAGAGTAACACACGTATATTTGGATTTTTATTAAAATGATTTGTTGAAATAACTGGTGTTTTATTTCCTCATATTGATCAATTTAGGCTCAACTAGTCTTAAGTTATGCTTTCCTCTACTCGATCTTCTAAGTCGATCGCATCTTCTGGGCCCTTTCAATCAAATTTCGGTTTAAAACCCTCAACACATCGAAAGGAATACCCCAGAACAAAATAAATCGTCAAAATTTAGGGTTTTTAAAAATTAAAGTAAACTTATAAAATTTAAATTTGCTAGCAGTTGTTGATAATTCCCCCCCCCCCAATATAAGAGTTTATTTAATTTTTAAAGTTTTCCCCATAATATTAAAAGAAGCATTTACATTTATTTGTTTTTACTTTTATTAGGGAAAGTAAAAAATTTACCTCTTGACTTAATTCAGATTTGGTTATAAAGGGGGCTTTTTTTTATATTGACTATGATTGTTTAGACTTTTTTTTTAATCATTTTTTAGGAAAATACTTTTTTTTCCTTTGGGAGTAAAATTTAAAATGATCGTTGCACTTTCAAAGATTATTACCCCCCTCGGGTTTTGTAATACTAGAACCAGGTGGGTAGAAATTTTTTTCAAACTGATTATTTATGAATAATACCCAATTTTTCCCGTTTCCCTTCTCAAAATTCCCAAAGGGTTTTTGCACGTCGAGAGGGGGCACACGGCGGGTTAAAGGGTAAATTTCATTCAATAAACCAAGATGTTTGGGTTTTGCCCTTGTCTTTGTTTAAATCGGGAGGGTTAAAAATAATTCAATGAAAACCGTTTTAGTGACATAAAGTTCGTGATTTTCTCAAAAAGATAACAAACTCAATTAAATTCGGAATAAAAGGGGGGGAAATGAAATAAAAAAATTTAGGGATCATCATGAAAAACTTTCAAACAAAAAAAACCGATTCCCCTCGGGGAAAAAATTGGACTTGGGAAAAAATTAAAGGGAACCAAAAATACGTCCCCTTAAAAAACAACCCCTGTTCTACATTTTCCCAGAAAAATTGACATTAAAACCCGTAAAACCCAAAATTTAAAAATTTTTTTTGCTGAATCTTTTAAAAATGGGAAGACACTCATGAACTTATATTTCAAAATTTTCACGGTTTGGGCAAACCATCCCAAAAAAATCTCGCCCAACCCTTTTAAAAATTTTCATTTTTGCATAGGGGTAAAAGGAGGAGAGAGCTTCGATCGATAAATCCCGAATTTAAAGGGAAGGGCGGACGGGGAAATAGGAGCCCACCCCCTAAATTTCCGTTTGTGACCCGGGTTTTCCTTTGGGGGAAAATTTCCCAAAATTGGAAAAAGAAAAAAAGGACGGCAAACTGCCCAAATTTTTTGGTTGGCAGAAAATTATTTTTGAAAATATTGAATTTAAACCCCGGATTCGTATTAGCGGGTCTTTGGGGGGTCAATAAAGTTTCTTTTTCGGGAACTTCAGGGTTTAAAAAAAAATTTTGTGAAAATGTTTTTTACAATTTATAAATAAATTGTTTTGGGTTTTATTAAAGGGAGACGGGGTTTTCCCAAAACTTGCAAAAATTAAATTTTAAAATATTAGGGCTTTCATAGTGTCAAAATACTCGGAAATAAATTTTTAATACAACAAGAGGTAGAAGGGGTGGCATACTTTTTTATTATACAGAAAAGAAAGTAAGTAATGTATGTTATTTTAAAAAAACAGTTTGGCTACTTTTGGGGAAAAATTAAGATCGTTGTTTTTTTTTTTAAAGATAAATGTTTTTTTTTCCATACTTTATATCACCCCTTTCCCTGAAAGTTTAAATAAAATAATTTGATTTTTTTTTAAAATATTGAGATTAATGTTTTAAAAAAATAAGGAACTCGGCAAATATTTTTTATGGGGGATTTAAATTTCGAACCTAAAAATAAACCCAATTTTTTCATGCAATAAATATATTCCCTTTAAAATTGCCAATATAAAAAAAAAATGATATTCCCCCCGGGTTTTAACCGAGATAACGTGATTATTCTCAAGGTAAACTTTTTAATTTTGGCCCGTGTATACCCAAGCTTCATAATGGGAAAGGGTCGCCCTGCTCTCGGAAAAAAATATTGGGTTTTTTTCACTTTTTCTAGAAAGGGGGAAACATTGATTTTTTTGGGCTGATATGTTTGGGGAATTTAAATCTCCCTTGATTGACTTTCAAGTTATGCCTTTTAAATGAATTTTCGGACAGGGCCCCTTGGGTTTTTCAAACAAAAATTTTAAGAAAAACAATGAGACCACTTTTAATTATTTTTTTTGGTAAAAAACAAAACAAAATTTTAGGGGATAAAAAAAATTATGCTTTTTGTTAAAAAATTAAAAAAAAATTGAGAAGCGAATTTATTGTTTTAAACCCAAATTCTTTTTAAATAAAAACCCAATAGACGCTGAAATTAATTATTTTCTTTAAATTTAGTTAAAAAAAAGGGTTTAAAGACTTTTTGCGAAGGTAAAACCAAAAAAACTAAATGAATACAATACATCCCCGTAAATGTAAAGGGGTTTGAAAAAAAATCCCCGTAAAGGGAAAAAAACCCTTTAATAAAGCCGAAAAAAATTTAATTGGGGGACGGGGACATACAAAGTAAAATTTTTTTCTTTACGTTCGGAAAAAAATTTAAAATAAAGTTAAAAAGGATCTCAAAATGGGTTTTTAAAATAATAAAGGAAAAAGATACGAATCATTTAAAATAATTTTAAATCATTCTGGAAAACCCTTGAAAAATTTTAATTTTAAAAGAAAAATAGACATAAAGTAATTTATTTATATACCTTTTAAGACTTTTTTTGGGTTTGATACATCG